ATGAAAAATATGCTTTAAAGGAACTATAGAAAGTTTTGTTTGTTATGGAACTACCTATTGCATATGTGCTAGTTTGCTAAGTAATTTCATTTTTAATTCTGGAAATTCTTTTTATTTCTATCATCCATCTTGAAGATGTAGTAAAGAATTTTGTTTTTATTGATTGTTAGGGCAAAGATGGCAATTTTTTAAATTATGTGCGCATATGTTTACTTGTTTACTTATTTGGCTTAATCTAATCTTATAGAAAACCAGATGCAGAATATAAAAAACCTGGCATCATTAAAACTATCTGGTAGTTTTCTAGCAAGGTTAGCTACAAAAAACTCTCTAAAGCTAGGAAACTCATATAGGACACAAGAAAATATGCTCAAAGTTTCCTCAGTATACTCCAACTTAATTTCTTCATCTGAGTACAAACCTTGTTTTCCCGAAACTATGCCCTCTCCCGATAATAAGCCCAATTGGGCTTTCGAGTGCATGTGCTAAAATAAGCCCCTTTCAAATATAACCCCCCCAATATTTAGACAAATGTGCAGCTGCCCGCAAATAACATGGTATAAGGAGATGAGGCTGGAGAGGACCTGGCTGGGGGGAAAAAAGGTGGAGCCTGCAGTCCCAATGAGCAGATTTTGCAAGCAGCCTTCCTCCCTCCGTTCCTGTCCTGACTGGAAGGCAGCACAGGGGGATCTCACCTTGATTCCCTGCCCATCTCTCTGGCTCCACACAATGGGAGGCACGGAGACGTCCCACTGCTTCCCCATGTGGAAAGGAGCCCCCCATGGGTGGTGATCAGTCCCCATGGATACCAAAAGCCCTGCGGCAGAGGAGGAAGAGGAGGAGATCTTTCAGCTGACCCTGGGGTTGCCAAGGGAGAGGTGGGGGATTGCCTTCTCATTCTGCCCGCTGCCCGCTGCCCGTGTCCCCAACCCAACCTCACCCTCAGCAAACCTTTTTCTGTGTGTGTGGGTCGGATGCTAAAAACAGCCTCAACCCACCAGGAACAGAGCTCCAAGATGGAACTTTATAAAAGGAGTAATTGAAAGGTTAATCGGCATGGGAGCTGACATCTGAGGTTAGCTCCCCCCCTCTTTTTTCTCTTTATAATCTGCTATTGGCAAATGGGAAACAGAGCGGTTTAGGGGGAGGGGCTGCTCTGATAAGCCCACCAGCTTGGGTGGCAGAAAGGGGTGGGGGTGGGGAGAAAGCAGCCATGATGATGATGCCGACAACAATGCCGGGATGCCAGAGTCCCCGGGGCGGCCAGTCCGGTGTCTGACTTAGCTAGGCAATTCCCAATGAGCAGAAGCCAGAAAAGGGAAGGAGGAAGAGGAGGAGGGTCTTGCTTCTCTGCTGCCCTACCCCTCCCCATCTGCCACTCCCCATCACTGGCTGAGATTGGCAAGCCAGATTTGAGGAACTGAACGCACTGCTGCTGGCCAGGAGGAACAGAACATGAGAAATGGGCTCTCTCGTAGGCCTCCTCTCTCTCTTCTTCTCCCGAGTCTGGTTCACCGAATCTGGCCTGCTGAGGTTTAGGGATAAGACACCCCCCCCCCCCAATAATAAGGCCAAGGCCATATTTTGGGGGTCAAAAGAAAATAAGACCCTGTCTTATTTTCGGGGAAACATGGTATAAACACCTGAGCATTGGAGATACCACATACATGCTAAAATAACTCCTTCAAACCTCTTTCAAACCTCCCAATTAATCCTCGTATTTGGAAACAATCAATTAAATAAATGCTCTTAGAATATTTGGGCAAAGCAATCTTAATTTAATCAGGTGAAGTTTTAAGTTAAAAAAAGAAACATTTATGTAGATAGAGTATAGGAGTTAAAGCACCTTGGAAGATTTTAATGTCCAAATCCATATGAAAGGCCAAATCCAATTGTGCTGCCATAACCTATATTACACCAAACAGTTTCTCATGAAATTTACTTGCACTAAGTATGATTATCAAATATAACACAATTGCATTTTCTGCATGGATAACAGTAGCATATGCCTTATCATCTAGTCATATTTTGTGTCACATTTTTTCATAGAGGAACAATCTTTAAAAAACCGTAAACTCTTTTTGATGAAGGCAGGAAAGATGCCATTTTGAGAAAATATGTAGGTTCTTCCTAAAATGTTTTTCACAAAATTATCCAAAAACTTTAGGCATACCCATTTCTATCTGAAAGGCAAATGAGAGAAATATCATTACTGAACTGAGAAATCTGTATTTCTAGTCTGTGAACTCTTCCTACTTAGAACAATCTATACATATCCAAAATGGCAGTTGCCTTATGGAAAATCTCAGAACCTTGTCAATCAGTTACTGCTATTAGGTTGATGTTAACGTTACAATTATAGTTGGGGCACTAATCTTTTTGTGTAGAGAAAAATATCCAGCACAATCTGGTAGAGCTTTAGTGGAAGGAAGAAATTGTCCAAGATATGAAATCTTAAAGAGATTTAAAGTTTTGGTAACTTCATTTGCAGCAGTACAAAGACTAAGAGCCTTGGTGGTGCAGCAGACTAAAGTACTGTTAAGGAGCACCAGGTGCCTGCAATTACTGCAAGTTCAAATCTCACCAGGCTCAAGGTTGACTCAGCTTTCCATCCTTTCGAGTAGGTAAAATGAGGACCCGGATTGTGGGGGCAATAAGCTGACTGTATAAAAAAGAACACCGCTTAGGGGAGTTATACTGTCAAAGCCTAAAAGTAAAAGCAAAGTATATATGAAGCAGATAGAGACTAAAGACCATTTAAAATGAATTTCAGAATAGGATTTTATATATCTTTCAATTACAGATAGTCTTTCATTTACAACTACAATTGGGACTTTTAAAGTCTCAATTGTAATTAAAACATTTGCTGCTAATTTGTTAAATGAATTCTATCTAATTATTCAATCTTTTTTTGCTGCAGTTGTTAAGCAAATCTGGTTTCCCCATTGACTTTGCTTCTAGATTAATGCCTGTTGCTAAATCCTTGAATGTCAATCACATGACCGCAGGGATGTTGCAAGAATTGTAATTGCAAAGAACAATGATCAGTCACTTTTTTCAGCAGTGCTGTAACTTCGAACGGTTATTAAATAAATGGTTATAAGTCTGTTAGGAATACATTACAGAAAAATCAGAATATCCAATTTGCAATAGACATACAAGGATTGGAATATCACATGCTTAATAGTTCTAAAAATAATAACCAGTTGAAGAAAAATATGATCACATAAGAAGTAAAACTCAGGAATAGGTTATTCACTGATTTTTGAAATAGAATCAACTGAAAGGTTGTTCTGTAAATCACAAGATCACCTGTTTTGTAAACGTTATGAAACATATTGAACTAGGGGTGAAATGCTCCTGTTTTGGACTGGATTGCCTGATCCGGTAGTGATGGAGGCAGGTGGTTCGGAAAACCGGTAGCAAAAATCCCTGCCCTTCCTCCATGCCCAGCTGAGCTGCACAATCATCAGAGGCTTTTTTTTACTTTTAAAAGCATTTTTTCTACAACCTCTTCGGCCAAAAAAATGCTTTAAAAAAAAAAAGCCTCTGATAATCGCGCAGCTCAGCTGGGATCGTCGAAGGCTTTTTTTTTCTTTTAAATGCCTCTGACGATCCAAGCTGAGTTGCCTGATCAGCAGAGGCAGCTCAGCTGGGATCATCAGAGTCTTTTGATCGTCAGAGCCATCAGGCAACTCAGCTGGGATCGTCAGAGCCTTTGATCGTCAGATCCTTTTGAAAGCATTTTTTTACAACCTCTTTGCAGAAGAGGTTGTAGAAAAAATGGTTTTAAAAGTAAAAAAAAAAAATTGGCCATGCCCACCCAGTCACATTACCCCCCTCACCAAGCCACGCCCACAGAACCAGTAGTAACAAATTTTAGATTTCACCACTGTATTGAACAAATCATCTTGGAAGACATACAGCCAGATTGTTGTAATATCTAAAGCTTTCAGCATGTTATCATCTTACTGTTAAAAAAAGAGAAGTAAACTAAGAATTTGAGTGAATCAATTCTGCTGTCTTCTTTTTTCTGAATATTAAGCAAATATTTTAAAACATATTTGGGGAAAGTTCTCATATTGCTAAGCTTTAGTAAATTCACATGAGGACTTGATCAAAGGAAAAAGTATTGTAGGATCCAAAGATACCTTTATTAAAATTGTGATATGTAATTTAAATAGGAAAAGTCACATGATAACCATCTCCTTGGGAATAATGAACATATTGAACCAATTCCCAAATACATGCCAAAAACAGTTGAAGGAAAAAAACCGAACAACCCGAAAATATGTACTGAGGCATAACAGTACCGTGCAATACAATTGTGACCTATAACTATGAAGCTATAGTTGACTATCATACTATAAAGGTGCTCTGCGTAAGATGTTTTGCAAATTATGTCTAGGAGGAAGAGCTGAACTTAACCAGTACTCTTAATATGACAATTTGACTCTTTAAATTAATTATCAACTGAAATATTGGATGTATATGTATTATATAACTATATATTTCTAAATGCAGATTCTCATTTCGCTGCTGAATCTGCCTTGCTTCAACATAACAAACACCTATTCAAATTCCAATTTGAATTCCAATTTAAATAACTTTGGAGACAGATGTAATAAACATGTTTCTGAGTACAGTTTTGCAGAAACCTCATTAACTGATTAGCAGTTATTTCCTCCTGCATTTATCAAATGAAATGATTATGATTAATTCAGTTCTTGCCAGATCCCTGTAGAGCTCTAACATTTGTCTAACATTTAGACTACTGAAACATAAAATGTTCTATATATATCCCTTGCATTATTCTGAGTGATAAATATTATTATATACCTGCCAGGTAGGGCTTTATCTTAACAAAATACTTTTTCTTAAAAGTAATTCGTTCTTTCAAGCAATTAACTATATCCAAGTATTATCAGTGATGCCTATCCAAGCAAATGTTGGAATATTTGCAAAAAAGATGATGGTTTTAGTGTTTTTGCCTCATACAGTATGCATAGCAAAAGCAGAGAGCTGCACTGTAACTGAACCAATTCCTATTCTGCACAAATATTATCAGTCAGGTAATTTTATCATTGGTGGCATTATTCCTCAAATCCTTAGGCCATATAATCCAATAGACTTCAGTGACCATCCCCATCATGCAATGATTGATGACCTAATGTAAGTAATTAAGGTTTTTTCCCCTGATATATCCTATTTAAGGGCACAATCTAATCTAGACCTAACAGAATTATTATAAATAATGTATTTACTTATAGTAAACCATTTGGCATCCTTTACTCCTCATTCCATAAGTGCTTGGCATAAAATTAAAAGGTTATTAAAACAATCCTGAACCATGGTTCAAATTTAATGTAAAAACACAATATCAGATTATTACCAATAATCAACTTTAAGGATTTAAAAGAGAAACACTAGAATCTTTTCATGTCCCGCAACTGAAGATTTAACACAAGAATAATTACTTCGTTATAATATATTGACATGACTTTATGAAGTTACCATCAACAGCATAATGTTTACTATAATTTTTCCTAATATTCTGTGTTATTTTATAAATTAATAAACTATTTTTCTTATAAATTAATTTTATCCGTTTGAAATGTCGTTATATTATTAAATTTATCAAATTATCCCTTCTTATTTTGCTTGTGCTGCACACTTGTCTCTGTTGTATAGAAGGACATTGTCATGACATTGTCTTCTTCCTTTACAGCTAACTCTTAATAAGACTAAATATATTATACAAAAAAGCAAAAGCTTTATAATTATTTATGTGTACTGTAAATTGAAGCCATTTTTTTTTGTTAAGGTTTCTTGACAGGGTCATTCTTCAAGATTCTCAGTAATACTGTAATTATAATTGTTTGTTGCAAAATATGGATTTGATATTTTTTTTTACTTTTAAACCATCACTAGCCATTTACTTTATTTTTAATTGTTGGTTGCAAGGAAGATTTTTAGAATTGAACTCTTGATTGGTGTTAAGTTTACTGATTTACACTCAATTAAAAGTTGGGCAGAAATGGACATTCTTATTGTCTAGGGATTATTTTAGTACCCACACTTATATATATATATACAATATTTTGTTAAATCACTTTGCTTGTTAATTTTTAACCAATGAAAAGCTGTTCTTTTTGGATTATAAAATGTAGTTATTGCAATAGAAAATGTTATGTGATATTCTTTGAATACTGCTAAGAATGTTGTATAAAGACTAGTTATGATTGCCTTTGTCTTTGAGTCAGCAAAGTTTTTCGTTATCTCATGTTTTAGTTTGAATTCTTAGCTGTGTCTAATTAACTCTAGCAATGACTGCTTGTCAAAGAAGCATATGTTATCCTTGAAGGTATTATCAATATTTAGAATTAATCAAGAACTGTCCATATTTTACACATGGCAGGTAGCCAAAATCATTCTTATGCAATGCAGTGTAATGAATTCATGTTTAATTTGAAATAGTGGTTTACTGTTCTATGCTACTTGCTCAAACATTCTCTTTATTATCTGTCTGTCAAAAGTGTTCAAATTCCTCTTGCATTGTTTTGCCTATATATATATTCAGGCATTTTTTCTTTGCATTATTTATGGTACATATGCTTCTATTGCTAATTAAAACTCTGTGCTTGGTTAATATTTGTATAGCAGTAAATTCTGAATATGTATATCTTTGAGATTGCCGTTATTGTTTTAGTCTCATTAAAACTATGTTTATTTATTTGATAAAATTTTAAAAAAAGGTTTTCTGTTCATACTAATAACTGTATAAAAGTTAAGTTTTAAGGATTCAACTATATAATACAAAAAATGTTTATATCATTTTTGATATGTTAGAATTTCTAAACACCAACTTGCTTTTGCTTTCTTTTTTTTAAGCTGTATTTTTGCCATTCTATTAAATACATGGGGAATAAATTTGTTCAGATTAAAATAGTTTTATCTTCCAGTGGAGTGCCAGCATTAATCTTTCTCTCCCCCCTACCACCTGAATTTTCTATTTGTAAATGAATCTATTTATTTTAAAATATTTTTAGAGCAATTATCCTCAGGGTACTCTGAATAGGATAAGGTAAAGGTTCCAGGTAAGTAAGCAATATCACACCTTGTCTGCATATCTGATTAAGAAAAAAACCCAATAGTTGATTTGGTGTAAGAAAAGATTTAAGTAATAATAGTTATTACTATCTTGCTTTATTTTCTGGGAACTGTAGAAGACTGCAGTTTGAACAAAGATAACTTGTTTTTTTTTTTAATTTGATTTATATGCCGCTCTTCTTCTCAGGGCGGCTTATAATGCGTTAAGCTTCATACTTTTGTATATTTATACAAAGTCAGTTTATTGCCCCCATAATCTGGGTTCTCATTTTACCCATCCTTAGAAAGGATGGAAGGCTGAGTCAACCTTGAGCCTGGTGAGATTTGAACTTGCAGTAATTGCAGGCAGCAGATGTAAGTGGATGTTAATTAGTCTGCTGAGCCACTAGAGCACAGCTTTTAAGTTGTGTATAACTCTAAATTACTCCTTATCGCTTATTCTTTTCTCTGATAATACACTGTCTTTGCCTTTTTTCTAGTATTTTAAGAATATCTTATTCTTGTGTAACTTTGGTTACATCTGCTAGTTTTTGCTGTCTGTCCTTTCTCTATATCCCTGGTTCATCCATTCACAGATACAACACTTATGCTAAGTCTGCATTTTATTGAAGGTTATACTCTGAAAACTATAACTTCTGACCAGAGCAAATGCAACCCAATCCAATCCATTGTGTAGAATTTCCATGTGATATGATGTATCTCTGTTATTTTCAGTGTACTGACTAAAAATTATCAGCATACGCTGGCCTTAATATTTGCTGTAAAGGAGATAAATGAACAACCACAAATCTTGCCTAATTTTACATTAGGTTTCAACATTTATGATAGCTATTATGAAGCGAGATGGACCTATCACAGTGCAATGGAACTTCTCTCCACACAGAAAAGATTTATTCCCAACTACAGGTGTGACATCCAGAATAATCTGGTAGTTATCATTGAAGGGCTAGATATTGATGTCTCACTTCCTATAGCAAATATTCTGAGTATCTACAAGTTTCCACAGGTTTGTTGAATGCTTGTTATGATTTCTTTTATTTTTCTAGATTCTATCATTTGAATTCAATAAAAATGTGCACTTGAGATAAATAGGGAATTTAATTACTTTTAAAAATAATATAAAAATAATTGAATCAGTTCATTCTCTGGACCTTAGAGGAGACACATTCTTAGCTGTATGAATACTTTTCTAGTAGTCAGGAAGTCAGATGAGGTTCTGATAAATTGAATGCTTGCTTATAATATTTTATTTATCTGCCATAATTCAAAAATAAGACTGTTTTTGCTTCAATTGTTTAACAGGGTTTCTTCAAGAGAAATCATATAATGTTATGCTCCTTTATTCAACTCTTCTAGCAGTGCCACTTCTCTTCAATGAGCTTAAAAAGGAGATTTATTTTCATGTGAAATTTTCAGTTTTTCAATGCCTAAGATGTATATGCCACATATATAAATATATTTTAAAAAACCTACTTTATTTTTAAAATGTAGTCAGGCTTTTTTTTTTTTTTTTGAACTGGAGAAATATTGTTTGGAAAAATATAAATATCTTATTCTCAGTATAAATATTACAGTGTCATCTCTGACAGTGACGACAGTGTAATATTTACACTGATTGTAAATATTCTCCTGATTGTTTAAATTTTCCAAATGACCAACTTTTTCTTTCCTTCATTTGAGTTCTTTGATTAGGACTATATATAAAAGTATATTTTTGAGAAGGATGATAGCTACTTTCTTGGAAACCAAACTATACAAGTTTTATTATAAATACTAGAGGTTTGCTTTAGATTTATGAATTTGCTGTAACTTTTTAGTAAAATACAGTTTGTGTAATATAATGATCATGAGAGGTATATTATGAATCCAACTATTTGCCAGTATATATTTCCCCAGATATCAGGGTATTAAATTATCTCAGACTTGATATTTGATTTTAGGATTTGATCTTAATCAAAAATCAAACAAAAGTCCTATGTGAATAAACACCTTACTCTTCAAATGCATTTATTTTATTCATGGCGAATAATAAACTATTTAAATATCCTAGTCCATAATAAGCACAGCCATGTAATAAGCAACTAATATTTATTCTGGACAGGGCCAACTGAAAAATTTAACAAATAGGGTAAGTTTTTCATAATCCAAATATAGTCAGCAAGAGGTTTCCTCATCCCAACTAATTACTTTCACTTAAAGAAACATTATATCAATGTTTTTTCAACTTTAACAACTGCATGGAGACTTCAATCTCCAGAATTTCCCAGCATCCTTGTTCTATCTACCGGTAATATTTATTATTTATATTGTTCATAATGGGCAAACACTACTCCTCTTCAGATTTTCTGGTTGAATATAAATTCAAAGAAATTAATTATTGTTACTATATATATGAAAAAAAGAAATTACAGAAGAATACTACCCTATACCAGTGTTAACACCCATTCCGTGACTGCTGGAAGAGAGCTAGCATGTGATTTAAATTAAATCTGTTGCTGTTGATAGACAATTGTAAAATCCTAAAATAAGTAAATACATATTCTAAATCCATCTCTCTCCGTCTCTCCATCTCTCTTTCTCTCTCTCTCTTTCTCTTCCCCCTTCTCATCTTCATGTATGGTTGTATAGTTCACATATGGGTCCACTGCAGTGATGAATAATCAAAGAGAATCACTCCCTTTCTTTCGGATGATTCCAAATGAAATTTTGCAGTATAAAGGTATTCTTCAGTTACTTCTGCATTTCAAATGGATATGGGTTGGAATCATGGCAATAAATGATGACAACGGAGATAGATTTGTGGAGAGAATTCTTGCAGGATTTCCTATGAATGGTATCTGTTTTGACTTCATAAAGAGAATCAATATTCCTTTCCTTGATGATTATATTAGTTCAGTTAGTGAAATGGTTGAAATTATTGACAAAATTAAGAGGAGTGAAGCCAATGTGTTGGTTTGCTATGGAGAAACTCGAACAATGATATATTGGAGATGGATGTTTCGACTATTTGAGGTAAAAGGCAAGGTATGGATTATGTCAGCCCAGACTGATCTCTTCTCCTTACCTTATCAAAGAGAATGGGACATTGAATTCATCAATGGAGCGCTATCTTTCACTGTTAAATCATGCAAGCTTCCAGATTTCCAATATTTTTTTCAAAGCAGAAAACCTTCCAACTCAAAGGGAGACAATTTTCTCCTAGCATTTTGGGAACAAGCATTTTCCTGTAAATTTTCAAATTCCTGTGCAACTGGGGGCATTTGCACGGGAGAAGAGAAGCTTGAGGATCTTCCTGGTACAGTTTCTGAAATGTTCATGATGGGACCTAGTTACAGCATCTACAATGCTGTTTATGCTACAGCTCATGCACTTCATTTGCTGCAGAAGTCCAAATCCAGATATGAATCAATGGCAGTTGGACAAAGATGGAAGCTTCAAAATCAGCCATGGCAGGTGACTGCTGATAAATGAAATTAAATGTGATATACCTATGAATGCAATAGTAGAATTCTAGCAATGCAGAAGACACATGTGGTCTCTATGTTAGATTGTAGGCCTGCACACATTTACCTGAAACTTTTAGACCCATTAGAAAAATTACATGACCAGATATACTATTTTTAATGTCATTCATTTTTCTACTGAAGTATCTACCATTTAAGTTTGCCAGCTTTTATTTTTATGTATATAAATAAATGCATATTCAAATAATGTCATTCCCATATTTCAGGATTCTGAAAAGCTCATATTCTATAAAATAATTTTTAGTTGTAAATGCACAGACAATATGACATTCATCTTAGTGACTAAAACAGAGTATTACAATTGTGTGCACCTGTGCATGCAGTACACTGGAGATTGATCTTGATAATCAAAAACGGTATTTTATTCTATGATTCAATAAATAACACAGCTGATCTTCCTTTTCTTTAAGTTTCATCGATTGCTCAGGGGTTTTTCATTCAACAACAGCGGTGGAAACAAAATTTCATTTGATCACAACGGAGAATTAATAGTTGGGTTTGACATTATAAATTGGGTCACATTTTCAAATCAAACGTTTCTTAAAGTGAAGGTTGGAAAAATGAATTCTATGTCCACATCAGAACAAGAGTTCAGCATTAATAACCATGCAATCACTTGGCATGACATTTTCAACCAAGTAAGTAATGATAATATCCAATTTAACATTGAAATGAGCTGCTTTGTATACTGTAATTATAGTAGTTATAATATTAGAATATAAACTTGAAAATACATAATCTAAAATACATAATCTAATATTCTAATATTATGTAGGCACTTAAAATTTCACAACTATCAAATTTTAAAATGCTTTAAAAAAGAATGTCATCACCTCATTTTAGAAAAATAGCATTTAAACTTTGGACAATTTCTTGTCCTTGGCTACATGTTAATAACTGAATTTAAAAAGTACAGTATATCTCAAAGACAAAAAGCAGATTTTTATTAGTAGGGTTCTGGTAATAATCTAACAGTAGGTTAATTCCAAAATAAGTTATATAATTTTCCCTGAATTGGTTTGACTCCTGTTCAAGCCATGAACAACTCATCTTATAATTCTCCAAACCAAACATAGGAAATCTGTAACCCTCCTGATATTGCAGAACTATATCCACCTAGTAGAAAAAGCCAGCATAAATTAATGAGAATGATATTGAAATTGTAATTTGGCAACATATACGTGGTCATGGACAGTCCATTATGTTTTTCACTCTTTCTACCTAATATCCTAAAGCATTTGTCTTTCTTTTCTACTATATTAGACCTTTGACTTGGGTTAGATCTGAATAAGCCCTACTGTTATTCAGGTTGATATTATGTGATATCTCAGAATACAGTTCTGGAATAAAAAGAACAAACAAAGGAAAACGTATATTATGCATTTAGGATGAAGAAACAGAATTGCTGTACCATCTGGTATTATCACGATTAGAAAATAATGATATAACATCCCTATTCCTCATTTTTTCCTCTCCCACTCTATAGTTATCTCAAGCATCCTTATGACTAAATATATTTCATAATCTTATTCTAAATACTTCTTGTAATTTGTATGAAGTTAGGGATAGAAATCTGTTCTGAAACAACCTCCTCTTCCAGAATTCATCCTATAATGGTTAATGATCTAGAAATAAGGATGAAGTAGGAATTCCAACTACCCATGGAAAAGGGGAATCTGAAAGATGCATTTTAGAGATTAGAATAGAACACTTTATTTGGCCAAATGTGATAGGCAGACAAGGAATTTGTTACTGATGCAGAAGCTCTCAGTGCACATGCAAAGCAACAGAATCATAGAATAGAATAGAACAGAACAGAACAGAACAGAACAGAACAGAACAGAACAGAACAGAATAGAATAGAATAGAATAGAATAGAATAGAATAGAATAGAACACACAAGGAATTTGTCTTTGGTGCATATGTTCTCAGTGTACATAAAAAGACAAGATACACTCATCAAGAATCACAAGGCACAATATCCAGTGACAGTCATACGGTACAATAAGCAATCAAATCATAATAGGAAACAATCAATATTAATATAAATCACAAGAATACAAGCAACAAAGTTACAGACATGCAGTCACAATTGGGAGGAGATGCATGACAGGAACGATGAAAAGACCAATCGCAATAGTAATGCAGCCTAATGTGAACAGTTTGACAGTGTTGAGGGAATTATTTGTTTAGCAGAGTGAAAAAACTGTTCTTACATCTAGTTGTCTTGGTGTGCAGTGCTCTATAGCATCATTTTAAGGGTAGGAGTTGAAACAATTTATGTCCAGGATGCGAGGGATCTGTAAATATTTTCACAGCCCTCTTTTTGACTTATGCAGTATACAGGTTTTCAATGGAAGGCAGGTTGGTAGCAATTGTTTTTTCTGCAGTTCTAATTATCCTCTGAAGTCTGTGTCTGTCTTGTTGGGTTGCAGAACCAGACAGTATCATCATCATTATCCCAATAAGAGTGGGTAATAAAGTAGATAATAAGGATAAAAATAATACTACAGACATATTCTATGGGTAAATATACTGTACATAGACAGTACTGTGAGAATTAGATATCTCTGTGTCAAGTTGTTTTGTCATGCATTGCTCTACAGCTCTTCCAAAGAGAAGGAGTTGAAACAGTTTATGTCCAAGAGGTCAGGGTCTGTAGATACTTTATAGCCTTCCTTCTGACTGGCGCAATATACAGGTTTTCTATGGAAAGCAGGCTGGTTGCAATTAGCAATAGCAACTTAAACTTATAGTGCTTTACATACTTCTCTAAGAGGTTTACAGAGTCAGCATATTGCCCTCAACAATCTGGGTTCTCATTTTTCAAACTTGGAAGGCTGAGTCAACCTTGAGCAGATCAGAATCAAAACCTGGCAGTGAGCAGTTAGTTAGCCTGCAATATGGCATTCTAACCACTGCACCACCAAGACTCAGTTGGTGTTTGTTCTTTCTGCAGTCCTAACTATCTGTTATCTATATCTATCCTGTTTGGTTTGGTGTACCAAACCAGACAGTTATAGAAGTACATATGACAGATTCAATAATTCCTCTGAAAAACTGTATCAACAGTTCCTGGGGCAGTCTGATCTTCCTGAATTGATGCAGGAAGAACATACTTTGTTGTACCTTTTAAATAATGGTTCTAATGTTAGGTGTTCATTTCAAGTCCTGGGAGATTACAGAACCCAAAACCTGAAGAACTCTACTCTGATACTATGCTGTCAAATATAGTAAGAGGTGGTAGAATAAAAGGGATCCTCCTACAATCTACAGTCATCTCTACAGTTTTAAGCATGTTCATCTGCATATAGTTCTGGCTGTACCCAGGACCAATTGTTTAAGATAGTTTCAAAAACAAGATCAGGTTAGAAGACCCAATGGGCTGGTTTAGATTTTCATTTCCCATTTTTATGTGATGGACTGGTTCACACATTAGCCTAGATCTGGAAAATTCATGTTGAAGTCCACCTTTGAAGTTTAATAGGTATTTTGGGCCAGTGATGATCTCTTAGTCCAATACACCCCAAACATTTGCTATAAGAAAAATTGAGATAATCACCATCTTGAAACTTTGAAGGAAAATTCAGACATAAATCTACCTAGTTATTTCACTATTCTATATAAATGATTTTATATGATTATTAGTAGATGATCTGCAAAAACACCTCTACCCAAACTATCACTGGAAAATAGTCAATATACTGGTATTTTATTTCTATAGACATTGCCTCTCTCAGTTTGCAATGACAATTGTCAAATGGGCTATAGACGAAAAAGTATTGAAGGAAAGCCATTTTGCTGCTATCATTGCAATCGATGCCCTGAAGGGAAAATTTCCAGCAGGAAAGGTATGACATATATTGAATGCAGATAAAATAATGTTTATAGTATCCTTGTTTCTGCTTCACAGAATTTTATATGAGTGAATTTAGGTATTTTTTATTCTACTGTAACTATTGTCACACATAACTTATTCAATACTAATGCCCTATAGCCACATTGCTATGCTAGAAAATGTAATGAATAATAATTTCTAACCTATCCTTCCAAATACAGTAAGAACATTATTACATACCAAATAGAACTATTTAACAAAATTTACTGTCAGAGAAGCATATAAGGCATTGGCAGTAAGTTGGTAGTTCCAGAGATCAAATGCCAAATTTATTTCAGGCCAACTTCAGGTAGGTAGGTAGGTAGGTAGGTAGGTAGGTAGGAAGGAAGGAAAGGAAGGAAGGAAGGAAGGAAGGAAGGAAGGAAGGAAGGAAGGAAGGAAGGAAGGAAGGCTTTTCTTTGAAAAACCATCCTCATAGGAGAACATGAAAAAAGCCTGTCTCTTCTGAGAATACATTTAAAATGTTAAAAAGCAGAAAATGGAAGGATTCTAGGCTGTATTATGTAGCAAATTAAATAAATCCAAGCAAACTTGTTTCCGCAGTCCATACAGCAGAACTTTACATAACTTTTTCAAAATCTAAAAAAAATATTAATCTTAATGGACATCAACCTTTCAAAGCAAGAAATTAATCCTAGTGGATACTTAATCTTTACCCAACAGAGGAGAGCAAGGGGGAAAGAAATTTGAAGACAAATGATTTATTAAATAGTTGGAAAATATTATATTCTTTAATTTATACAACATGAATAGTTTGTTTAGATTGTTGTACACTGCCCAGAGTAATTTGCCCTGACAAAACAGTCATAGAAATTACACACACACACACACACACACACACACACACACACACACACACACACACACAAAGATATTCTTTCTTTTTCAGATATGGATGACTGCTTTAAATGCAAAGAAGACCAATATGCAAACAAAGATCAGTATTTATGTCTTCCTAAAGTCAGTACTTATCTATCTTATGGGGATCCTTTGGGAATGAGTTTAGCTTTGTCTGTTACTGCTTTTGCTGTACTCACAGCTCTGGTGCTTGGAATTTTTATGAAGCATCACAATACTCCTATTGTCAAAGCCAACAACCGAGATCTCACTTATATTCTCCTCATCTCTCTCCTTCTTTGCTTCCTTTGTTGTTTGTTGTTTATTGGACAACCAACAAAAGTAACATGTCCTCTACGACAAATGAGTTTTGGAATTATCTTCTCAGTGGCCATTTCTTGCATGTTAGCAAAAACCATCATAGTGGTTCTGGCTTTCATGGCCACCAAGCCAGGAAACAGCATGAGAAAATGGATGAAGAAAAGTTTGGGGAGTTCCATTGTACTTTCCTGCTCCTTGATTCAAACATGTATTTGTGCTGTATGGCTTGCAACCTCCCCTCCCTTCTCAGTTGTTGACATGTATTCAGAAGTTGAATATATAATACTGGAATGCAATGAAGGCTCTTTGATTATGTTCTATTGTGTCCTAAGCTATATGGGTTTCCTGGCTATTGTAAGTTTCACTATAGCTTTCTTTGCCAGAAACTTACCAGATACTTTCAATGAAGCCAAATTCATCACTTTCAGCATGTTGGTCTTTTGTAGTGTATGGTTATCCTTTATTCCAGCTTATTTAAGTTCCAAGGGGAAATACACAGTAGCTGTGGAGATCTTCTCAATCTTAGCCTCTACTGTTGGGTTGTTGGGTTGTATTTTTTTCCCCAAATGCTTCATAATTTTATTGAAACCTCAATTAAATAACAAAGATCAGCTAATAAGAAGAATAACATAAATTGTATGTATTTGTATATTTTACAACTTTAATTTGTATTAAGGATATATGAATTAATTCTAATCCAGTTTCTAGTTTGTCAATTCAAACTTGGTAATTATTTATTTATTAAATTGACTTGGTACTTCTGTTTGAGCTTCTTAATTGCATGTTACACAGATGACACTATCTGATTGTGAAAAATGCGAAAGATCTGCAAGTATTAAAAATCAGATGACACAGTAAAATAATGGGACTAAAATTAAGCATAATATTAATGACAACAATAGAACAACTGGCTTTAGGATTGACAGTGAAAATATGGGAAAAGATGGATAAATTCTGTCTTTTTGATCAGCTATCAGCAGTAAAGAAGCAAATAATCAAGAAATATTCTACAGACTAGTTCTTGGTACAGCAGCCATAAAGACTTAGAAAAAATATTCAAGTACTGTAATGTACCTATATCTACAAAGATCAGAATTATACAAACTAAGGTATTACCTGTGACACTCTATGAAAGTAAAAGTTGAGATTTAAAGAAACAGAATAGAAATGTATTGATGTCTTGCAACTTTGGTGTTGGAGGAGATTCCTAAGAATATCATGGATACCCAAAAATACAGTTTAATGATCCATTTAAAGATGATCCACCCAAAATTTTCACTTGAGGCACAAATAACTAATTTGAAATTAGTTTAGTTTATTTGAAATTTGTTGTTGCGAAGTCATGTCCGACCCATCATGACCACATGGACAATGTTCCTCCAGGCCTTCCTGTCCTCTGGAGTCGATTTAAGCTCATGCCTACTGCTTCAGTGACTCCATCAGCCACATTCATTCTCTGTCATCCCCTTCTTCTTTTGTCCTTAATCTTTCCCAGCATTAGGTTCTTTTCCAGTTAATCCTTCCTTCTCATTAAGTGGCCAAAGTATATGAGTTTTATCTTCAGGAACTGGCCTTCTAAAAAGTAGTCAGGGTTGATCTTCTCTAGGACTGACCAGTTTGATCGCCTTGCAGTCCAAGGGACTCACAGGAGTCTTTTCCAGCACCATAGTTCAAAGGCCTCCATTTTTTGGCACTAAGCCTTCCTTATGATCCAACTTTCACAGCCATACATTGCAACTGTGAAAACTATAGCCTTGACTATATGTACTTTTGCTAGCAGGGTGATGTCTCTGCTTTTTAGAATGCTGTTTAGATTTGCCATAGCTTTTTTCCCCAGGAGCAAGCTTTTTTTAGTTTCTAAGTTGAAATTATCCTACTTCAAACACATTATGTAATGTGTAATGATCCAGTTTATTATTTATTTATTATTTTTTCTTTTATACCGCCTTTCTCCCGAAGGACTCAGGGCGGTGAACAACCAAGGTTAAAATACATACAGTATGAAAATTAAAATAATTTAAAAAATAATTAAATCAATTTAGCTACCCAATTTTTAAAACCCCTTATCTATAAAATTAATCAATTAAAATCTTAAGCCAGCCCGGCTCGCTGAAACAAGAAAGTCTTCAGAGCCCGGCGGAAAGTACGGAGGTCCAGGATCTAATCTAATAAATAAATAAATAAATAAATAAATAAATAAATAAATAAATAAATAAATAAAGTTGTATCCCTGGGGATAGTTCGTTCCAGAGGGCCGGTGCCCCCACAGAGAAGGCTCTCCCCCTGGGGGTCACCAGTCAACATTGCTTGACCGACGGCACCTGAGGAGACCCTCTCTGTGGGAGCATATTGGACAGTGGGAGGTTATTGGTGGCAGAAGGTGGTCTCGTAGATATTCAGGCCCTAAGCCATGGAGTGCTTTAAAGGTGAGAATCAAAACCTTGAAGTGCACCCAGAAGACCACCAGAAGCCAGTGCAGCTTGCGCAGGAGAGGTGTTACATGGGAGTGCCATGTCGCCCCCATAATCACCCGCGCGACTGCATTCTGGACCAGTTGGAGCCTCCAGGTGCTCCTCAAGGGGAGCTCCATGTAGAGAGCATTACAGTAGTCCAGGCAGGAAGTAACGAGGGCATGAGTGACTGTGTATAAGGAGTCTCGATCCAGAAAGAGGCGCAACTGGCATATCAGGCGAACCTGATAAAAAGCCCCCATGGCCATGGCCGTCATATACTCTTCTAAAGACAGCCGTGGACCCAGGAGGACACCCAAGTTACGGGCCCTCTCCATGGGGGCCAATAACTCACCCCCAATAGCCAGTGATGGCACCAGCTGGCTATATCAGGACACCGGCAACCACAGCCACTTGTTCTTGGAGGGGTTGAGTCAGAGCCTGTTCCTCCCCATCCAGACCTGCACGACCTCCAGGCACCGGGACATCACTTCAAGGGCATCATTGGGGTGGTCTGGGGTGGAGATGTACAGCTGAGTGTCATCAGCGTACAGATGACACTGCATTCCAAAACCACGGATGATCTCACCCAGTGGCTTCACATAAATGTTGAACAGGAGAGGCGAGAGGACTGACCCTTGCAGCACCCCACAAATAAGGTACCTTGAGGTCGACCTCTGCCCCCCTGCCAACACAGTCTGTGACCGGTCAGAGACTCCAGCCGGTGCAGCATGATACCATGGCCAATGGTATCAAAAGCCGCTGAGAGATCTAATAGGACCAGGACAGAGGAGCACCCCCTGTCCCGAGCCCTCCAGAGATCATCGACCAATGCGACCAATGCCATTTCCATGCTGTACCCAGGCCTGAAGCCGGACTGGAATGGATCTAGATAGACAGTTTCATCCAGGTACTGTGGGAGCTGTCGCGCAACCACACTCTTGACAACCTTCGCCACAAAGCGAAGGTTGGAGACTGGACGGTAGTTTGCCAAAACAGCTGGGTCCAGAGAGGGTTTCTTGAGGAGGGGCCTCACCACCACCTCTTTCAAGGCAGGGGGCAGGAAACCCTCACTCAAAGAAACGTTAATAATCCTCTGGAGCCAGCCTCATGTAACCTCCCGGGTAGCCAGCACCAGCCAGGAGGGACACAGGTCCAATAAGCATGTGGTTGCATTCAACCTCCCCAGCAACCTGTCCACGTCCTCGGGAGTCACAGGATCAAACTCATCCCAGATAACATTTTCAAGACCTGCCTCAGACATCCCGCCTGAACCCATCCAGTCAGAGTCCATGCCTTCCCGAATTTGAGCAATTTTATTGTGCAAATAACACACAAAATCCTCAGCTCACCCTTGCAAGGGGTCTTCCCATGCTCCCAGGTGGAGAAGGGAGTGGGTCACCCTAAACAGGGCAGGTGGGCGGTTATCTGCTGATGCGATAAGAGTGGAAAAGTAGTTATACTTCACTGCTTTTATCGCCACTAAGTAGGTCTTGATATAAGACCTCACTAGTGTTCGGTCAAATTCGGAACGATGAGCCCTCCATCTACTCTCTAGGCATCTTTTCTGGCACTTCATCTCCCTCAGTTCCTCAGAGAACCAAGGAGCTGGGCAGGTTCGGCGCCGGGTCAGAGGCCGCAAAGGCATGACCCGATCTAAAGCATCAGCGGCCACCCTATCTCAGGCGGCTACCAGGTCTTCCGTCGAGTCATGAGCCAGAGTCTCAGGAAATGGCCCAAGCTCCATTTGGAATCTATCAGGATCCATCAGGCACCTGAGGTGGAACCACCTCCCTGTGGTGGGGTGTAGTGGTCAGAAAGTCAAGCCTAAGGAGAGAATGGTCTGACCATGATAAGGGTTCAATGGCTATGTCCCCTGTATCTAGACCATTCAACCACTGACCAGAGACAAAAACCAAGTCCAGAGTGTGTCCTCATATGTGAGTAGGGCCATGAATTAACTGGGTCAGGTCCATGGCTGTCATGGAAGCCATGAACTCCCGAGCCGCCTCAGACGTTTCATCGATGGATGGCAGGTTGAAATCCATCTTGACCAAAAGTCTGGGGGTATCAACCGCCACCCGGCTATAACGTTGAGGAGCTTGGGCAGGGCCGCTGCCATGCAGCAGGAAGCCAGGTATGCAATCAGCAAGCCCACCTGCATCCCATGGCCCCACTTCACAAGGAGAGACTCACATCCAACTATCTGAGATACAGTGGCCTCCCTAGGAGCGAGAACTTTCTTTACAATAACCGCCACCCCCCCACACTCCTACCCTGGGCCCTCGGCTGATGAAATGCGCAGAAACCCGGTGGGCACATCTCTATGAGGGGGATCCCCCCTCCTGGCCCAACCAGGTCTCTGTAATACCCGCCAGGTCCGCTCCCCCCTCCTGAATCAGCTCACAAATGAGGGGGGCTTTGTTGACCACGGACCTGGCATTGCACAGCATCAGCCTAAGACCCGGGCTCTGAGACTCTGAACAACCCAGAGAATGAGAGGAGCATTGGGGGCCGGAGCACGTCAGCACTTGGAGACAGCGGATGCATGCCCCCACAACACGATATGGCCCCCTGCTCCCACCATATCTGTCCCTCCCACCCACAGTCCTGATGGAATCGCCCTCCTCCCTACCAACGCTAACCCCCTCCACTCCCCACTCTGCACCTCCCAGAATGTGACCCTGTGCCGTGCCTGGCCTCCCCCCTAACAAATCACCCTCTCTCTCCTTCGCCAAACAACCCATCCACCCCCAAAACCCCTTAAAAGGGGCTTGTTGGAATAGGCTCTAATGCTGGGAAAGATGGAAGGGAAAAAAGAGAACAACCAGCAGCAAGGTGAATGGTGTACCATTCAATTATAATGGTGATGATTGTACCATTTCGAGACTTGAAAGAACAGTTAGGGATAGATCAATATGGAGAAAATCTATATTGTTGCCAGGAGTAAAAATGAATTAATCAATCAATTTTCTAGAAAAATATATTTAGATTTAAAATTTTGGCAATATTTTATGATTCTAAACAAGAGAAATTGAACATTTTTCCACACTGCAATGAAATAAAATAATGCTGTGTGTTGTGGTGAAAGAGAAGCTTATCCACATTTGTTTCTTTTCTTTTCAAATTATTTCATTAGAATTGTTCACTACAGGGATAAAAATAAATAAAAAGAGTAGGGCTTTTAAAAGTGGCCTTCTGGATTTTCAAAGAACCTTATTTTCACCCTTTTAAATAATATTTAATCATTCTGATAATGTTAATATTATTTATAGTTAATGTTAATTACATATGTTTGCCTTGTTTAAATG